AGTACTTGTTGAAAGTTCCTGCTCTCAAGAAAATGAAACCAGTTATAAACAGATGTTAACCGAGCATTTTTAATCAGGAGCGAAATAGAGTAGTTTGTTTGGAAGGGTAAAACCATTTTTAAACAAGATTATATATGGCTCTCTTTAGTCAATGTAAAGGCTTTAGGGCATGTATCTTCTAAAACTGTTAATTTCTATGGGAGTGTATTTTTTCTCTCCCGAAAACATCACAAACAAGTCAGAGAAAAGACATCAACGTAAGCTACATGTACCGTAACCTCCCAAAAGAAGTTGCGCGAGCTGTAAGCATGCAGGCGACTTGCTCTAATATATGAGGCCTGTCTTTTATCTGGAATATGTACGGCTTGGAAGCTCAGCTACAAAAGTATAAGCTTCAAACTAAGACATAAATACTGTCGCACCGATCGAAGCACAACGCCAATTACTTCAAGCGTTAGTCTTAGAATTTTCTGTTTTGTATCCAAAACATGCAGTGAAACTCACCGTTTAATGTCGCTAAGTTTTCGTCCTAGAGCTGTCCTTCGAAGCCGAAGTCTTAAGACTAACAAAAACAAAAAACATAGGGGCGGAATATCTTATAAATAGGGCGCCAGGCTTTTTATCCAGTCAAGCGAAACGGCTTGGAGGCCGTCCTTTTTCTTCCTTTAATCTGCACTCACGCCACATTTTATTTATGGTTTAGCATGGGAAAGGCTCGCAAGTTTTGCCAATAAATAAAAAGAAAATAAACGTACCACTAAAACTGGTGAGGGTACAAGGCGAAATGAGTTTGTGAAATGGCATTTGGCAGGACTTAAGGAATGGCGTGATTATGTGGAAGGTGATATATGCAGAATGGTCCAAAAATTAATTCACCTGGAAAGCGCGCCCTTTCTGCAGTTCTGATTATCTTGGATTATTATATGGCTGTGTCTCACAAGGACTGGGAACTACCAAATTTACGAATTTGGCTGAAATCGATATTGACCGCGGTCTAGATTTTCCCATCTAGACCGGCATCTAGACCGGTTACATTTTGCGTTGAAAAAGTAGCAATCTAAAATACAAAAATGTTCACCGTTTTCTTTCATTTTCTTCTCAATCATTTATGGAAGTGCCAAACAGCCTGATGACCAAAAAAAAAAAGCAAAAAACAAAAACAAAAAAGTAAAGAGGACGAGCAAATTTCGGCAGGTTTAAGTTAAGCTCATCTCCGTTTGCAAGCAA